AAGTCCACCTTCAAATAACACTGTACCACTTCACATGTATTATAGGTACCTAATATAAGCATTTCCCATGTCCTGCCTCTCATCCCTTGACACCATTGTCATTCACTTCACTTTCTATATGCTATATAAACCAATACATTGTTACTATTATTATTTTATTAATATTCTTAGATGAATTAAGAATAAAAGTAGATCATATTTTATTTTAATTTCTTCTCTAATGCTCTTTCTTTCATTATGTGAATCCAAGTTTCTGACCTATATTGTGTTCCTTCTGCCTGAAGGACTTCTTTTGGCATTTCTCGTGGAACAGATCTAAGAAAGTCTTTATTTTTCCTCCCCCCCTTTTTTTTTGCCTTCACTTTTGAAAGATAAATTTGATGGTATAGAATTCTAGATCATTGTTTTTTTTTCTTTCAGAATTTTAAATATTTTATTCTATTATCTTGCTTGCATAGTTTATTCTGAGAAATCCTCTGTAATTCTGATCCTTGATCCTCTGTAGGTAAGGTAGGGTAGGTTCATGGCTGTCCCATGTGAACACCTTCCTGCCTTCCCCCTCTCAGGCCAACCCCAGGCTTCTTTCAAGATTTCCTCCTCCTCCTCCTCCTCCTCCTCCTCCTCCTCCTCCTCCTCCTCCTCCTCTTCCTCTTCCTCTTCTTTGTTTTTTTGTAGCTTATATATGATTTACCTAGGTATGGTTCCTGCTTAGTGTTTTCTAAGCTTCCTTGATGTCTTCTGTTATTAATTTTAGCATGTTCTTGGCCATTATTACTTGAAATATTTCTTCTGTGTTCTCTTCCTTCTCTTTCTGATATTCTAGTTATGTGTATATTAAACCGGTTGCAGTTGCCCTACAGGTCTTGGATGATCTGTTCCTTCCCCCCTGCCCCCCATTTTTTTCCTGAATTGGAGAGAATGCAGGCTGGGCTGAGGGGATCCCCCCTGTGCATGAATTTTGTGCACCAGGCCTCTAATTATTAACATAATGCCTTTATAACGTTTTCTCTAAGCAGCTAATTCTATTATCTCTTTCTAAAGTTAGAGGCATACTGTTTATTTAATGTTACCTGCTTTTACAATTTAATGGAATATCACGAACATTTTTAGATCATTTATTCTCCTATAGTAAAACCTTATTTTTTCCACCTGCACATCAAATACTTAAAGCATACATTGATTATCCCAAAGCATTAAGACATGTAGAATATTTAATCTAAGCAGGATACCAAAGCTCATTTTGATTTAAAAAACACAAATTCTAATTTATACCAGGAGGATGGAGTTCTCCAAAGGTCAGTGTCAGAGTCGATTTCAGGATTTCAGTTATTAGTATTGCAGGTGAGGAGAGAGGAGAGAGGGAATAATATAGGCCTCAGGTTCTTAGGTTTGTGTTTGCATCTTGATTAAAATATAGGAAAAAGTGGTTTGCTTTTCTTGACTTAAAAATGGACATAAGATTGTTTCCAGGAATTACGTTGCATCTTTTCTAACGCCCAGGTGGTCTTTCAGATATCTCTTAGGAAGTAATGGAGGACTTTGAAGGGTGAGTTTCAGAGTGTGAGAGCAGGCCTTGGGGGAAATTTCAGTCCCTTGTGTGGGTCCAGATAGAACCAAAGAATATGGACTAGCTGCAGTTGCAGTCAGCCTCTCTTGTGTGCCCATGGACCTCAGTATCAGGCTGGACTCAGACTAGAAGGCGATTGATTCCATTGAGGCATCTGCTCATAATTAGTTTCTTAAGAATGTGGCCTGTGTTGGGTGCAGCCGGAAGCATTTTCACAGACATGGCACCATCACTTGCAACCCCATTATCAGAATCTTTTGCTTTTACTGAAGTACATTCAATTAGAATTTATTATTTTTTTTGACAGGATGATCTACTTTTTATTTATTTTTAAATTTATCTTTTTGGTTTTATTTCTTATTTTTAAATTTTTATTTTATTGTTTAAAGTATTACAGATAGTAGTACATATGTCTCCTTTTTTTCCCCCATTGACCTTCCCCCGGCCTCCCCTACCCCCCGGCACATGTCCTCACCGCCCTCCCCCCCCCCCCCCGTGTCTTGTGTCCATTGGTTATGCTTATATGCATGCATACCAAGTTCTTCGGTTGATCTCTTATCTCCTCCCCACCCCCACCCCCCACCGCCAACACTCTCCAGCCTTCCCACTGTAATTTGACAGTCTGTTCAATGCTTCTCTGCCTCTGTATCTATCTTTTTGTTCATCAGGTTATAATGTTCTTTATTATCCAAAAATGAGTGAGAACATGGGGTTTTCTTTCACTTCCTGGCTTATTTCACTTAGCATAATGCTCTCCAGTTTTATTGTTGAAAGTATTATAGATGTCCCCCCTTTTGTTCCCATTGACCCTTTCCACCCTGCCCACTGCCCCTTTCAGGCATTCACCACGCTGTTATCTGTGTCTATGGGTTATGCACATATGCATATAAGTTCCCCAGTTAATCACTCCCCACCCACCCCTGTCTTCTAAGATTCATCAGTCTGTTCCATGCTTCTATATGTCTGGATCTATTTTGTTCATCAGTTTATTTTGTTCTTTAGATACTACCAATGAGTGAGTTCATGTGATACTTGTCTTTCTCTGACTGGCTTATTTTGCTTAGCATAATACTCTCTAGGTCCCTCCATGCCATCTCAAAGGGTAAGAGATCCTTCTCTCTCTCTTTTTTTTTTTTTTTTTTTTACTGCTGCATAGTATTCCATGGTGTAGATGTACCACAGCTTTTTTACCCACTCATCTACTGATGGGCACTTGCGCTGTTTACAGATCTTAGCTATTGTAAATTGCACTGCTTTGAGCATAGGGGTGCAGACATTCTTTCTGATTGGTATTTCAGGTTTCTTAGGATTTAGGATTTAGATCTGAGGGCATAGAAACTGCTCTGTTAGGTTTGGGATTTAGTTGAACTCTTGGGTGACAAACACCTTCCTCACAAATCTTGGCAAGACCAGCTGGTTTTTGTTGCAACCTCAGAATTGCAGAGGGAAACTCAGGACACTTGGATATTTTATACCAAAGAACCTTCCATACCTCAGGCATGGAAGTATTGAAAATATCCCAAGAACAAGTGATTAGTTTATTCCCCGTCCCCATGCTTTAGTCTGGCACCTCTCTGCCTCCCTAATTGTTAAAAGGATTTGGAAATGAGGCTTTGCATTTTTTTCCAAGGAATTTGTCCATTTTATGTATGTTTTCTAATTTGTGGGCATAAAGTTGTTTGAGATACATCTTTTTTTTCCTTTAGACATCTATAAAATCTTTACTGATGTTGCCTCTTTGATTCCTGAACTTTGTAACTTGTGTCTTCTTTTTTCTTGGTTAGTCTGGCAAGAGGTTGTTCGATTTTATTGATCTTTTTATTTTCTCTTTTGTTTTTATGTTTGAAATTTCATTTGCTTTTGTTGTCTTTATTATTCCCCTACTTCTGCTTGTTCTCAGTTTACTTTGCTTTTATTCTTTTAGTTCCTTAAGGTAAAAACTCGGGTTATTGGCTTGACAGCTTTCTTCTTTCCTAATGCAGTCAAACCTCATTTCTCCCATCTCCAACAATTTGGTTCTCCACCAAGTTGTTCACAGAAAACATGTCTGGGTTGTCGAACCAAACAGCAGTCTTTCAGGCAACAAACAAAAGAGAGAATGCTTTTGTTGCTGGCGAAATCAACCATTAGTTCAATTTTAAAACATAAAGAGGCCATAAAGGTACTAATGTTGCTAAGGGTGTGAAAGAAATAATGATCACAGCCTAATGAAGAGGTAGAAAAATTGTTATTGATTTGGATAAACAAAAAGCAGTCTGCCAGTGATAGCATTTCGGCGGCAATGATGTATGAACAAGTGAAGTTGCTGCATATTGACCTGAAAGACACCCCTGGACTGAGTACTAGAAGTGATTGGTGTAAGGCTAGTAGGGGGTGGTTCGATAAATTTAAGAAATAAGTGTTTATTTATAGACTAGAGGCCTGGTGCACAAAATTTGTGCACGAGGGGGGGGGGTGTCCCTCAGCCCAGCCTGCACCCTCTCTAGTCCGGGACCGCTGGCTTCTAACTGCTCACCTGCCTGCCTGCCTGATCGCCCCTAACCACTGTGCCTGCCTTTCTGATTGCCCCTAACCACTCTGCCTTCAGGCCTGATCACTCCTAACCCCTCTGCCTGCCTGCCTCCCTGATCTCCCCTAACTTCCTCTGCCTGCCGGCCTGATGGCCCCTAACTGCTCTGCCTGCCTGCCTGCCTGCCTGATCACCCCTAACTGCCTCTGCCTTGGCCCCTGCCACTGTGGCTTTGTCCAGAAGGATGACTGGAAGACATCTGGTCTAATTGGTCTAATTAGCATATTATCCTTTTATTAGTATAGATTAAACAGTATATTAGACATGTACTGTCTATAAGAAAGGTTAAAACAAGGAATCATTTGGGGATCTAGTATGGATTAATTCAATTTACATTATTTCTAATGGGGAAAAATGAATCGATTTTTGAACAAATTGCTTCTTGAACAGCCTTCCAGAATGAATTAAGTTTGAGAACTGAGGTATAAACATTTAATGCTATGAATTTCCCTCCAAGCACTGCCTTAGGTGAGTATCTCAATTTTGCCATGTTATATTTTTGTTTTCTTTCGTGTTCATTCACTTTAAAATGTTTTCTAATTTGCCTTGTGACTTCTCTTTGCTATAGAGGCCTCTTAGAAGTGTGTTGTTTAATTTCCAGATATTTGGGTTGGTATCTCTTTGAACTCTAAGAATGAAGTTCTAATAAGTTGAAACTCTGGTGAGAAGGCATTTGAATTTACACATGACAACATGGCAGATTTTTCACAGTAAAGTGAAACCCTGTCATGCTATTTTCATTGTATGAACTTGAAAAAAGGGTATCTCCAGCTATTTTATTATGCTTAGTAGTACTTTTAATAGGACTTGAAGGCAAGTATTGGGACCTTTCTGAGTTATGTGTCTTATCTTTATTCTTTTTAGTGCGTTATCATTGGCAGAACTGGATCCTGAAAAATTCATGAAAGATGCTAAGCACCTACACTGCTTTAAGAATCTGGAACTGAATCGCGAAAAGGCAGACAGAATTAAGAAATTGGGAACCTGAAGAGCCCTGCAGAAGAAACACACACCAAAGGAACATTACTGCTTTCTGTAGTTGCTGTGGTCCAAGGGAGGAGATGCGTGCTGCCAGGCAGGGATTGTGCCCTGCAGGGCAGACACCTGCACCTCCCTCACAAGAAGGTTTTGTTAGTTCCTATGATGTCTTGGCTTACTTTTGGAACAAGTGGGCTCAACATCATTTGTCATCGAGTTCTCCTTTCACACTGTGGTTCATTTCTGCTTGTCCACGATGGGTCTCAAATGCATTCATGCTGTCCATGTTCTTCCCAACACTGGCCAAGTCAGGGCCTGTGTGTTAAGGTGTAAAGAGAACTGTCACCAATGATAACGTATTGTGTGAGACCTTTGTGTCTTGTAAATTTCCTCTTTTTTCTAAAAATAAATAATAAAATGATAAGCCGCAACAGGTTGTTTTTTCAAATAACCCTTTTATACAAGGCCTTCCCGTAGGGGCCCGCATAGGCCTCTCATTCCACAGTGGGAGCTTGTCGATGGCAATTTGTAGTTGATGACATTTTCCTTGGACATGAGATGGCAGGAAAGGGGAGTGTATGTGGGAAAGAAATACAGCTTCAGAAAGGCAAGATGACTGAGGCCAAGCGTGGCTGCCATATCTGGTTTATCCACGTTTGGGAGGCCAGAGGAAGGCCTCAGCATGTTAGACAGTACAGATGCCCTTTCTCCTGGAATTGCTTGGTTGTCCATATATCCAAGCCAATATCTCCACAGTTATATGAAGACAGAACCACATTCTGCCAAGGAGTTTTTCAGTTCATTTTAATCTACGAGGGCCACGGTTATAGTGGTCATTTTCAGACATTATTTGATGTCAATAGTAATATCTCTTTATAATATATTAATGATTATATTAAACAGAGTTACCCTTTCTTGAAATACTCTTTGCCTGACTATAGAAGAGACCTTCCTGACATTATTATAATGCGGAAACTCTGTAACCTTTGTAATAAATCTGAGTCCCTCTAATCTGATCCAATTGTTTACTTCAAATAAAAACACAGAAAATGTGGGGGAAAGAAAAGCTCAAATCACATCTCTGATGAACATTCAAGTATTTAGAATATGGAGTTGGAAAAGGGTTTGGCAGATTACTTTATTCTGAATTGATACAGATGGTCCAGGATAATTCATGATAGTTTAAACCTGGATTTGAAACCATTACATCCCAGATGCAAACCCCTGGCCAGCTCCTCCAGCTATATGGACAGCTCTTCTGTTTCAGTTATTGTGGTTTTTACGGAGTGAATTCACCTTCAAGTTACTTGAATCTACAGTTTTGAAAAAACTCAGCTGTAAGGTTGTAGAATTGCTGAACAGGTTTGTCATACATTTCCTTGCCATTTCACTTTATCCACACCAATTAATGCTGTCCACAGCTGCAGCCTGTCCTGGTGGTAATGGGTAATGAAGATGGCATCGAGAGCAGAGCTAATGTGCTTGATGTTTGGATGGAGGTAATAGGATAAAGTCCCTTGTATCCCACAATCTAGTTTCTAGATTTCATTTCAAAGGGGCTCAGACAAATTGTAGTGTGAGTAGTGCAACATGTCAACTTGTGGAAGGATCTGAAAACCAGGAAGGAAGAAGAGCTGAAGGGGAAAACACCAAACTCTGAAAATTTGAAAGACACGGACAAGACACTGAGTCAGGAACAAAACTAGGAGCAATATGTATCCGTTGATTAATATAGATGTTGGCTTGATCAGCATAAGTCCAAAATCAGGGTAAGTCCAAAATCAGGGTAAGTCCAAAATCAAGGTGTCGCAGGTCTGTGCTCCCTACCAAGGCTCTCGGGAGGATCCTTCCTTGCCTCTCCCAGCTTCCAGTGGCTCCTGGTGTTCCTTGGCTTGTGACCCCATCACTTCAATATCTGCCTCCATCTTCACATGGCCTCCCCTGTGTCTGTTGCAAATCTCCCTCTGTCTTTTCTTATGACACCTGTCATTGGATATAGGGCCCACCCTAAATACAGAATGTTTGCATCTTGAGATTCTTAACTTGATTACGTCTGCAAAGACCCCTTTTTCAAATAAGGCCACACTCACAGGTTCCGCCTAGCATTGGGGGCAGTATCCTCTCCCCTTTGGGGCTGTCCCACCTCCTGAGCTATCTTCTCAGCTTTTCTTACTGTTTTTAGGCCCTGTCTGTCACTGACTTAGTGCCTTGGGTGCTCTTGGAGTCCCCGGGCAGGAGCCGAAGGCCCCAGTATCTTGATAAAGCTCTCACTGGTACAAGAAGAAAACAGAGTGATGGTCTCTGCCTTCTGCTGAATTATGGCTGAGTTCCCATTCCTGCTGGCCTGCTGCTTCCTCCACCTTCTTAAGATCCTGTAGTCCTTCCTGCTCAGCTGAGGGTCAGATAGTCAACAAGAAGGACAAGACAATGTGTATTCTTGAAGAAGACAGCACTGATGAGAGGGCAAGTCCACCCTTGAAACTCCAGATGGATAACTGCTGCTGGTTGAAAACTGACAGTCACGGATAATAAAGTTAATTTTAACCCCTACCTCCCTCCCCCACCCCCCCAACAACAACAACACAGATGCCGGCTTGATAGAAGGTAAAGCTTTCTAACAACACCATTCAGAAGCGGATGGTGATGTTGGGAGGTATTAGTGTTTGAGCAGAAGTTCTGAGCCTTCTTATGTGTGGGGAGATTTTTTAAAATTATAATTAATTTAAAAAATTTCCTCCCTCACAGCATGCAGGAAACATGATAAATGTTGGAAAATGTTTGCTACTTTCATAACATTGGATTGAAGGAAGGTTTTCTATCATCCTGAAGGTCACTTTCAACACCTAGGAACAGAGAAGCAGCAGTGTGCACGCTAATGATTGCCTGAAGAGGGTCAGATCTAACCACTGGGCAAGGTAATAAAGAAAAAAATGAAAGTTCCAGGCGATAGCCCATGAATCCACAGCTGCATCACACAGACAGCTTTCTTCCCTCCCCCACGCCCCCTCACTAGCTTTCTGAAGGTCATTTCTAACTCTTCCTGTGGGACCAATGGCTAAATTGGATTTAAGATGCAGTTTTACTTGCAGAGTATAAAACTCTCAGTCTTTACACCCCTCCAAATATCTCCAACTCCTCTTTCTGCGTGTTTATAAAGCTTTCTGTGTATTGTTCATTAAAATATTGTTTGAATGATGGTGGGAGACAAGAAGCGTACCATGCATAGCTTTTCTTGGCAGACTGCAGGCCAGTACTTTAAACAGAACATTGTCTGATAACACGGGGTACCAGGCTACGTTTAATCTTGCCTTTCGTGGTTTACTTTACAGGAGACCAAGCTCTTCTGGCGACGCAAAACATAGGCCAAATAAATACACCTTCTGGGGTGGACACTGCATAGATTGCTACATGGTTGGTGATCCTCCGAAGGCATCTTCTCCATCAAGCTGCATCCTCACTGGATGGGCGCCAACTGGTAGATAGAGAATGTGATATTTCACTGATTTGATCGTAAGGAACACAATTCCACAAACTCACTGTCTCCTTAGTTAGTTTATTGCTCTTTTCTGCAAGTTATTGTCCTTATTTTATTTTTGTTGAATAATAATGTCCTTTCTTGTTACATTTTAATCCTTCAGTACAGGACTCAGTCTAAGAGCAGGGTGCCTTCCTGTAGCTTTTTTCCCCTCCAGAACAGCCCATTAGCAAACGCTTCCCCATCATGGGCCAGTTTCCTCATCTGTAAGATGTGGGGGTCAGAGTGGCTGACATCTGAGTTCTGTGATTATCTGATGGCGCAGGGAGCCCAGCAAAGTGCTTTACATCCTACATGCTCTCAAGATGTTTAAGGCATGCTTTTCAGAGGATTAGGAATAATTTGCTATTTGAGGGAGCTTACATCTCACCATCCTCTCTAAAATAGGACTTCTGGCATTGGAAACAAATCTAAAGACTGTCCAGGTCTCTAAGGGATAATAATGGTAATAATAGTAACCATGCATTTGGTGATTGTAGCACATGGATAAGTGAAATGAATGTCAGTAATTCATAAGGCTTGGGAGGGAGGAATTGAAAATATTTTGTTGTATATTACCTTCACTACATGTGAAGTGGTATAGTGTTATTTGAAGGTGGACTTAGATTAGTTTAAAAATCTAGGGAAATTACTATATGTTTTCTATAAGAAATCCACTTTAAATATAAATACTCTGAAGAGTTAAAAGTAAAGGGATGGAGAAAGATGAACCATGCTAACATTAATCCAAAGAAAGCTGAAGTAGCTATATTAATTTCAAACAAAGCAGACATCTGAACAAGGAGAATTATATGGATAAAGAGGGCCACTGTATAATGATAAATGTGTCAGTTCTCTAAGAATACATAACATTAGATGCATGTAACAACAGATCATCAAAACGAGGCAAAACTGATAGAGCTAAAAAGAGAAACAGACAAATCCACTATAGTCACTGGAGACTTCGTCTCCCAGTCAGTAATTGATAGGTCAAGCAGGCAGAAAATCAATAAGGATAAAGTTGACCTGAATAGCACTCTTAATCAACTTGATCTAATTGACATTTACTGAACACTCCATCTACCAAAACAGAATACACATTTTTTCTCAAGCTCACATGGAACATTTACCAAGATAGACCACATCCTGGCTCATGAAACACACCTTAACAAATTTAGAAGACTAGCAATCTCAGACCACAGTGGAATTAAACTAGGAATCAATAATAACAATACTTGGGAAATCTCTCAAATAATTAGAGAATAAACAACACGCTTTAAAATAATTCATGGATCAACAAAGTCTTGATAGGAATTTTAAAATATCTTGAATTAAGTGAAAATAAACATGCAACTTATTAAAATTTATGGGAGGAAGTAAAAGCAGTGCTTAGAGGGAAATTTATAGCATTATGTGCATATATAAGAATAGGAGAAAGAGCTAAAATTAAAATATATATATTCATGTCCCCCCTGCCCCCCCATACACACACAAAGTATAAGCAAGAGGTAGCTCCACTGCTTGGAGAGATAATTGCGAAATAATAGTAATAGTGACAGCAACAACAATTTGGTGGTGGTGACGATAATGACTGACAGTGATGATGATGGTGATGATGATCACAATGGTGATGATGATGACGGGTGATGTCTCCATAGTGCTCTTTGTGTGCCAGACACTGTAATAAGCAGTTCTCATGTACTCGGGCATTTAGTACTTAAAATAGCCCTTAGCGGAGAGCACTGTTAGAATCCCCACTTCACAGAGGAGCCACTGAGACACAGAGCCATTAGGTCTCTTGTCCAAGGGTACATATCGACCAAGAGAAGGAACCAGGGTTTGAATGAGGCCATCTGGCTCCAGAAGAGGCAGAACCATTCAATTCCTGATCTATCTGCCTTCTCCAGAAG